ACTATACTAAAACTTCGATGTTAAGCTGCTTTGACACAATCTACATTGTAAAAAGCGCTATTTAAAAAAAAACATGAATTGAGATGGTGGGTCATTTCAGTGCCAAAAACACTGGTACAAAATAAAACTGCAATCTGTTTAAACAGCCCACTAGTATAGGCAAACATTTTGTTTTTCTATAAGCATTTCAGAAACAGGAAAATAGTCATGATTTACACAAGGGGTGCCCTAACTTTTTCCTTTGAAGGGTCAAAAGCCAAACTTGATTGAGGGTGGTGGCCAAAGTTAAATATACCAAACTAGTACATTAACCCCTTCAGACCCTGCGTCCATTACAATGGACATCACATGACATCCAATTTTTCTGAAACTTGGAACATAATTCAGGTCTGAGGGGGTTAAAGTTGTCATGGTAATTTCCTAATTTATTATGATTCAAAAAATAAATACTTTTATTGTATCATTCATTCATTCACTTTCTTGTCGGCTTAGTCCCTTTATTAATCCGGGGTCGCCACAGCGGAATGAACCGCCAACTTATCCAGCAAGTTTTTACGCCTCTTAAAAACTTTTAAAAACAAGTTTCTTAGCCTCTTACATTTATGTTGTTATTTCATGCTAAGAGTGATGAAAATTGTACTGGAACAGTGGTGAAATTACTGGAACAAGATATAAAAGCCTGAGAAAAATGCTAATATTACAAGAAAATTTCAGATGGCACTTAGAGGCTTTTGCATCATTCATATACATATTGATTGCTCGTTGACATCTTGTGTATTGTCCTCTATCCAGTGTGCAAATTTTACATTGACGATCAGGGGGATCAACTGTTTGTCAACTCTTAGTTTGTGTAATACATGCCTTAGTCATTTATGTATTTACTTTTAATTACATCTAGATTATTAATAAAATGTATTTAAGTTTTTAGCGGTTTGAGGGATATTTAGTGTATTGTGGCCTACAGTATTCTCTGATTAGCCATTTCAGATGTTACTGTAGGTTTTAGTACAAACTACGCGTCTAAATTGATTTCATTTTTAGGCTAAATATAGATACAAACACCTATTTTACGAAAAAGTCTTGTGAACACAATGTCTATTGGTGTTCTAGATCTGCCGCTATCAGACTGCGGGGTTACGCATTACCAATGGTCTGAACCATTTTTGGGTGGATCAAATGTATATTTATATTATCTATTATTTTAATGATTAACATGATTATTTAAAATACAGATCAGAGGGCATCACGGTGGGTAGCACGATCCCATCACTGCAAGAAGGTAGCTGGTTAGAGCCCCGGCTGCTTAGTTGGCATTTGTGTGTTAACATGTTCTCCTCATGTTGGTGTGGGTTTCCTCCTGGTGCTCCGGTTGCCCCCATAGTTTATTAACATGCACTATAGGTGAATTTGGTAAGTTAAATATGTGTGGGTGTTTACCCATACCCAGTGATAGGTTGCGGCTGGAAGGGCATCCGCTGCGTAAAACATATGCTGGATAAGTTGGCGGTTCATTACTCTGCGGCGACCGCTGATTAATAAAGGAACTAAGTCGAAAATAAAATGAATGAATGAAATTGGCCAAAGTGTATGTATGTGAATAAGAGTATATGGGTGTTTCCCAGTGTTGGGTTGCAGCTGGAAGGGCAGCCGCTGTTTAATAAAATATCCTGGATAAGTTGGCGGCTCATTACTTTGCGGCGATCGCTGATTAATAAAGGAACTAGGCCGAAAAGAAAAGAAATGAATGAATACAGAGTGAAACATTTCTCAGTATTAAAGAACTGACCCCCCCATACATCTTGTTTTGACCACCTTCAGGGGGGATCAAGCGTTAATTATAGTGGCCGATCCACCCCAAACCCAAATGTAATTTGCACCCTGCCTCTATTGTCGCGTGACAGTATTTACATTTTAATAATCTGATTTATTCACAACTTTTAATTCAAACATTTAATTTCAGTCAAAGAACAATCAAAGAAGCAAACATTCATGACAAGCTCTGTTAAAGGCATTCGCCCCAACCTTCTCCCCCTCTTTTTTTCAGATGGGATGATGGGCCAAATCAAAGGTTATCAAAGTTTGGGCATCTCTGTTTTATCCTATTGTTTGCTTCACAAATGACCCACTGCAGCTCTAAAACTTGTGTACAGCAAAACTGGTTGTAAATTGCACAGCACTATTATGTGTTGAAATGCACCACTCTAAAAGATTTCATCAGAGGCATTGTGTCAGAAAAGGCTTGTATTTTACATAAATCTAATAATAAAAATGATCAAACTAAATGTTTCTTTATCATTTAAACTTGGAATTATTCTGATGCAGCATAATCAAATTCCAAAAGCCTCATGTCTCCTCTGTTGAATACATTGACCAATCAGAACAGATATGCAAATGATGCAGCATAAAAGGCAACGGAAAGCGGGAAATGGAGGAACAAATTAAATTAGCCTCTTTTAGAATAAACAACCAATCATTTATCAGAAGCCGTCCTTCATATGCGTGTATGGAAATGCAGCATTTGCTTATTAGTTTTCTATATGGGAAATAAGATATTCAACTGGAAATGTGTACGACAGGACTTGATTTAATTTATTAGAAATCAAGCGGACTATGAGAAACAGCATCACGTTTCAGAACGGTATCAAAGAAATAGGAGTGCTTGGTGACGTCAGACAACACTAGAATATCTAATGGTCCATTTCCACTGAGTGGAACAGTACGGTACAATACGGGTCACCTTTATCAGGCTTACATTTCCACAACCACAAGGGTACCAACGGGCATGGTGTATGACAGAAAGTTTCAGTCGACAACATTCTCACTCGAGAAAATGCTAAAGTAAAGCTGTACGGGTCGTTCACATATCATACGACAAGCATCTCTCAAAAAACAGAGGCTTTTTACACAAATACTTGTGTATAAATTTTCATTACTAACAATTCTATGAACATAATTTGATTAGAGCTCAAGATCAATGATAATAGTCTACTGTAATGTCTGCAATTATATACAATAAATAAATAAATGCAGCATATATGAACACATACAGACCTTTACAGTACAACTACAGAAAAAAAACACACAGCAGACATTTAGTCCTTATTTGGGTTCAAAAACGACATGCAACATTTAGCCCACAGTCAGAGCAAACCTCTTATCTGCATCTATAATTTAAAGTTATAATATGTACACATGGCTTGACATTAACCTTTTTTTTTACCAGCCACTGTGGCTAGTAGTTTTCCAACATTACTAGCCACTCACCATTTTTACTAGCCCCAATATTATTGTTGGAAAAATATTTTTTATACACAAAAATATGACTTTGACATGTTAAAATTACTTGATTTAGATTTGGTGTTATCTCCACATGCCTCCTCATTCATTTCACTTTTTGTGTGTGGTGTATGAGCTTGCTCAATAATCATGAGCAAATGGGTCAGGGTTTCACAGTACTTACAATTAGTTTTTATTTCACATAATTTTCAGAGCTCAAAATGAAGGCACGAGTGATTATCCTCTCGTTCAGTGCTTCTCAATTCTAAGATCGTCTTTGCATGCATATTGGACCATCCTTATTGTCGAACCCTGCTTTTAAGAATTTTAAGAAAAGATTTTTATCAGGGAAAATTATTTTTAACCAGCCAAAGTGGCTAGTGGGAGCGTCTGTCTTACCCGCCACCGCCGAAATCTACCCACATTTGGCGGGTGTTAATGTAAAGCCCTGCATGTACAAAATTATTACAGTGTAATGTCTCGGCTGTGTTTTTAAAAGTGACGCTTCCTTTGTTTTCTTTCTCCTGCTTGTGTACGCGCTGGTGATGATTGTCTTTAAACCATTAGTGTTAAGCTGAGCGTCTAGCTCCACCTTTTGGGAGAGGGTGCTCGCTGCAGAGCCATTTGAGGAGAGCTGAGCTCCAGTGAGGGGGAGCATGAGCTGTCGCTCCTCCTCCTGTAAGCTGTTTTAATGCGTACACCAACCCCACCCCTAACCCTACCCCCAGTGACATCACTCGTAGAAGAAGTGCAAAAAAGGTGGAGCTCAAGCTTAAGCTCCCCCTCGCTGAAGCTCAGCTCTCCTCAAATGGCTCTGCAGCGAGCACCACTTGCCTTTTGGTGCCCTTTTCTTGTGCTAGGTACCCTCCCGACAGGATACCCAAAATGTGGTATGGTACAGTTCGCTTTTAGGTACCTTTTGACAGTGGAAACTGCCATAAAAGAGTACCGAAACGTACCGTACCAATAAGTGGAAACGGGCCATAAGCATTTTTTGTTGCTGTTATTTTCCATAAGCTTCCAAAAATTCTCTCAAAAATGTTGCGCTCTCTCTGTCTCTCTTTCTTGTTAACATGCTTTAGCTGTGCCTTTACTGAATGAGCACTGTGCTACATCCGACAGATCACACTAATATGTTCTCTTCTTTTTTATAGTTTTATAACCTGTTTTAACACATTTAATTTGTTTTTATCTGTTTTTAATCATTTGTATTATTATTATTCCTTGTACTTGTCTCTTTTATTCCTGTTTATGTAACGCACTTTGAATTGCCACTGTATGAAATGTGCTATATAAATAAACTTGCCCTGCCTAAATACATGCGCTTAATATAAAAGCTTTTTTATTCCTCTTGTTTGAGATTTAAGGTTTAGGACTCAGCTAAAGTTTGTTACGAAATGAAAGCGTTAAAAGAGTTGACATCATTCGCTAGTTTTTAATGATGTGTGACTCGCGATGAAAATCCGATGTACCTGCTTACACTGCATACATGTGGGCTTGAATCCGATTCATATCGGATAAATTTCCACATATGAACAAGACCTGAATCTGATTTGAGTAAATCGGAATTCATGTGAATTTTTCCTGCTTACATATACATGGGCCGAATCCGATCTGTGCCACATGGGAGAAAAGAATCTAAATTGAGTCACTTGAACCCCGCAGTGTAAATGCAGCCTAATTCGCATCTTTGGATGGAATCATAGGTCTAAATAGGAGTTTACCTTATTGCCTCCATCATTCATGCCCCATCCGCAGCTCTTGATCCCCATAGCGGCTCTGCTGGGTGACGTGTCCACACAGGTCACTGGATGTCCATATACAGAGTGAAGAACCCTTGGTTCCTGTTCTTCCTCCGGTCTTGAGTTTAACAGGTAAACGCTTTCACCTGCCCACGCAGTGACCAAGGGGATGTCCCGCTTCCCTGGCACCACCAACACCCCATCAACCTGAAAACAATGCTTCTTTAATCAATACTTGATTTTCAGAATAAATCTGGTCAATAAAACAATAATGATAATTATCACAGTTAAATATGTAATGTAATGTAATGTAATGTGTATTTTTATAGCGCATTTATTGTGTATGGCCATACACCCAAAGCGCTTCACAATCATGAGGGAGGGTCTCTCCACACCATCACCAGTGTGCAGCATCCACTTGGATGATGCGACGGCTGCCACAGGACAACGGCGCCAGTGCGCTCACCACACACCAGCTATTTGTGGAGAGGAGAGACAGTGATAGAGCCAATTCGGTGGAAGGGGATGACTGGGAGGCCATGATTGTAAGGGCCGATAGAGGGACTTTGGCCAGGACACCGAGGTTACACCCCTGCTCTTTCACGAGAAGTGCCATGGGATTTTTAATGACCACAGAGAGTCAGGACCTCGGTTTACGGTCTCATCCGAAAGACGGCGCCCACTGACAGTTTTAGTGTCCCCTTCACTTTTACTGGGGCATTAGGACTCACACAGACCACAGGTTGAGCGCCCCCTGCTGGCCTCACTAACACCACTTCCAACAGCAACCTAGTGTTCCCTAGTGGCCTCCAATCCAGGTACTGACCAGGCTCAGCCCTGCTTAGCTTAAGTGAGTAACCGGTCTTGGGCTGCAGGGTGACATGGCTGTGGCATATCAGACATAATATTTAAAGTGTCATGAAACCCCCATCTGACAGGTTAAGTCTACCTCAGAAATTAAAAAAAAAAAAAAATGCTCCGAGATGGGCGCGGAGTGCTGAGAGCAGCGGGAGGAGTGGGTGTGGCTGGCAGAGCAGGGGAAAAAGATGGGCTAATGTCAGTTGGCTCACCAACTCAGGATAAAAAAAATTGATACAAAGTGTGAGGAGACATGATTTTATAGTTTATTTACAAAAGTTAACATGCAAAGAAAAAAAAGGTAAGTAATTTAATGCCATTTCATATACGATAGGCTGTAATTTCATATAATATCTAGCCAAAATAGAGTATATGCCTAGCTAGTGTTCTTCCCATACTGATAAACTTCCGGTGACCTGTTATTTTGAACTTTTTTCCATTTTATATGGTCCCTTATACAGCATCGATGTTGTAATGTCATTAAAATACATTCAGTTAAATAAACTTTAGCATTCATTTAGTTGCTCAAGCGTAAAACGAGACAAAAAGCCGTTTACTCGCACGCGCCCGTCAGAATTGGCAGGCTAGCGCAGAAGCTCCATTGAATATACTGGGGTACAATTCATGCTCATATTATAAAGACATGGCGGATGAAAATGTAATTTAATGCAGTGCTTCTTGTACAACCTGAGACCCACTTTATATCGGATATCACTCAGCCAGTGAAGATCGCTGATTTTTAAAGAAAACAGACCTTAAACGCGTCGGTTTTTGCATTGAATACAGTTCGCCGGAAGCGCTTAACCCAGGTTACTGGCAAATTAAAAGTCCTATTAGCATGCTTCGGCATATACCCTATTTGTTCAATCATTATAAAGAAAATCATGGTAAACACTATAAATGAGGAGGACTTCTCTCCTCCTGAATTCCCGGGTCTAAATGCATACGCAGTGGACAGCAGTACAGCAGGGGCCTCCTGTACGAAGACTTGAGTTGAAATCATACTGGAACACTGCGTACGCACAAAGCTGTAAATGTGCGTTGCTGTCCGGGCCACCGATACAGCCAAGCTGTTTGCGTGACAAACATTTTTGTTGGGAGAGATGCATGAGAATTGGAGAATGGCGGACTTTGTCTTTTATCAGTTGAGTTTGTTACCATTCTGACACATCGCCTATCTATAGCATATTCATACGGGGGAGGAGGCAGGGAGGGGTTTTGCGCTTGTGCTCAGTTTCACGTTCATTCAGATGTACAAAGAAAATATGCGTGTGATTCGGCGTACGCAGTGTTTCATACATCTGAATTTTTTACTGCGTAAGCCGAATCACTCGAATATTCTCTTTGTACATCCGAATGAACGTGAAACTGAGCACACGTGCACAAGCGCAAAACCCCTCCCTGCCTCCTCCCCCGTATGAATATGCTATAGATAGGCGATGTGTCAGAATGGTAACAAACTCAACTGATAAAAGACAAAGTTCGCCATTCTCCAATTCTCATGCATCTCTCCCAACAAAAATTTTTGTCACACAAACAGCTTGGCTGTATCGGTGGCCCGGACAGCAACGCAGAGAAAGCCATGCAATAAACTCTGTGGATCATGGAAACAAACACATATAAGCTTTCATGGACGGCTAAATACTGTGTGTCGTCTCACAGCTTGGCGAGTCTGTGGTCTGCCTATCTTAGTCTGTCATCAGAAAGCATGTGCTGTCATAAAAAATTAAGAAGCAGAGTCTTCACATAAGATAAGAAAACTCCGCTATGAATAATAATGAGAAACCGCAGTCATCACTGTCATCATTCCACTAGCAGATTCTACGTCACTGATTTTGATCTCGCCCCAAAAATTATTTTAAACCCGGATGATCAACTTAGCTGACAAAAGCTCCAAATGATCCATTTTCCCCCACAATTAAAGCTGGCAGGTGCTACAGTTGTCTTAAATGGTACTCAACACACAAAAATCTGTAAAAACCTAGTAGAAAGTAGTCTAGGGTGTCAGTTACTAAACTAAACTTACTTTGCTTTGTCTCATTTCTAGTCCTAAAAAAATCTTACAGCAAGTAAAAAATAGTTTTGTTTTCATCTTCAGAAGAAATAAGTCAAAATCAAATGGTTTGTCCTTAAAACAATTAAAATTATCTGCCAATTGGGTAAGTAATCTTATTTCCGGTATAAAATGTACTTTTCTTTTTTGGCATGAATCATATAAATAATGAACTTGATCTTTGTTATACCTACAAACATCCTAATTTTTTGAGCCTAAATGTTTTAAACTCTTGAAATGGGCCGCGGAAAATCAGTTGAAACTAATTGAATGAATGTCGAAACAATATACAGTGCAAACACCCTAATTTGTGTTCCTGAAGATAAATGAATGACTCAAGAGATTGGAAGGATGTGAGGGTGAGGAGTTAATAACAGAATATAAATTTTTGAGAAAACTGATCTTGATTTTTATTTTTCTGTCATATCCCCCAGCGCTATATAGTTGTTTAGTGATTCTACACTATACTGAGAGTGAATTCTGGATGCAACAAATGGCCTAAATCTATGGAATGCTTTGCTTGTGCCAGAATCACCCACATGCATGACTCATCAGCTGTTACTGTGGGTCGGCATCTGCTTGGATTAAACTCACAGGTTTTGGTAACTGAACGAGGCTTTGAGATCTCCAGTAGCCCTGCTCATCAGGGGCGTCCACCCGCACATCTGGCCCTGATGCAGAGGCCAAAGCTGGACCGTCCGGGCTGAGATCCAGTACATGAACCCTCTGGAGGTGCTGGTACTGGTGAATGGGTTCAAGACCGGTAACAGTGCTCCACACATCCACACACCCTAAACGCACAGGATAACATTTAGCAGTGGAAGTTTGAGCAAAAGGCAACATTTACCAATAAGGTCCTGATAGTTAATACATTATATAACATTAATACAGATTATTTAAATACATTTTTATTGAGTTTTTTTGGTATTATTATCAATATTCATTATTTAGCCGGCAGCAAGCTCTCTGCAACTCTCACATGGTCGCCCACTGAAGCAAAGCAGGGCTGCGCCTGGTCAATACCTGGATGGGAGATCACATGGGAAAGTTAAGCCTGGTTTATACTTCTGCGTCAAGTGACCGGTGCGTAACCCACGGCGCATGCAACGCGTGTAGCTGTGCATTTATACTTCTGCGCGCTGTCTCTGTTGGTCTGCATTAACACTTTCGAAACGCTAGTGGGCAGTGAGGTGTAAATGTTCCTCTGTGTTGAGTTTCTTCTCTGCTGTTTTGCTTTTCCTGAACACTTCCTGGATGTACAAGTGGCTCAAACTCGCTCATTTTGAGGCAGGAACCGGCGGACGTGCAACAACTTTAACTATGAGGTAAACACAAAACAAAACTTTCCATCAGAAGCTCCTTTACGGGACTCCACACTTGTAAACAATCGCTCCATTGGGCTCGCGTCCAGCTCACGCCATTCGCGCGGCTCTCAGTCCCGCCCAGACTCGTCATCGCTACCAAGCCGACCAATCACAGAGCTTGCGCTACGCGTCGTTGCGTCGTGTAGTTACAATTTTTGAGAGGTGCACGTCAGCGACGCCGACGGCCACGGCGAAGGGCTATGCATCAGCGCCGTAGCATACGCCAGCGTTTGACGCAGAAGTATAAATCAGCCTTCAGGTTGCTGTCGGAAGAGGTGTTAGTGAGGCCAACATGGGGCGCTTAACATGCGGTCTTTGTGGGTCCTAAAGCCTGGTTTATACTTTTGCGTCAGGTGACCGGCGTAACCCACGGCGCATGCAACGCGCGTGGCTGTGCATTTATACTTCTGCGCGCTGTCTCTGTCGATCTGCATTAACACTTCCGAAACGCTAGTTGGCAGTGAGGTGTAAATGTTCCTCTGTGTCGAGTTTCTTCACTACTTTTTTGCTTTTCCTGAACACTTCCGGGATGTACAAGTGGCTCAAACTCGCTCATTTTGAGGCAGGAACCGGCGGACGTGCAACAACTTTAACTATGAGGTAAACACAAAACAAAACTTTCCATCCGGAGCTCCTTCACAGGACTCTAAAAATCGCTCGCGGCGTCGCGCCATTCGCGCGGCTCTCGGTCCCGCCCAGACTCGTCA